TTAATTCATAATCAATTCGTTTTGTTGTCACACTGGTGTAATATTCATGGCCTATAAGACTTCAAGTATCACAAGTTTTATTGTCACACTGATATTATTAGCCACAATATGTGATGCACAATTGTCTTCTACGTTTTATGACGGTGCATGTCCCAATGCACTTAGCACTATAAGATCTGTGATTCGTAGTGCAGTATCTGAGGAGCGTCGCATGGCTGCATCTCTCATTCGTCTTCATTTTCATGATTGTTTTGTTCAAGTACGTGCATTAGTTTTATTGTTGATTTGTTAACTGCATGTTTTAACTTGACTAATCTAAATCTAGATCATAGGTGTTATTAGAATCATAAACAATGATTGGAGACATATTGATGTATGCACTATTGCAGGGTTGTGATGCATCAATTTTGCTTGATGATAGTTCTTCTATAGAGAGCGAAAAGAGTGCACTTCAGAATGCAAACTCAATAAGGGGATATAACATCATAGATCAAGCAAAAGCTGAGGTGGAGAAAGTATGCCCCGGAGTTGTGTCATGTGCTGACATTGTAGCTGTAGCAGCACGTGATGCATCATTTGCTGTAAGTTGTTGAGTAACAAACTAACTATATATGTTAATTTGGTGTTTTTAACTTGATAATTAACATGCAAAAACATATATAGTAATGACTTAAGCCTTTTTTATTTGAATTCTTGATCAGGTGGGTGGTCCGTCATGGACTGTGAAGCTTGGAAGAAGAGATTCTACCACTGCAAGCAAAAGTATGGCAACTAGTGACCTTCCACTATTTACAGATGATCTTGACACCCTTATCTCTAAATTCAGCAACAAGGGACTCACTGCAAAAGATATGGTTACTCTATCAGGTAATTAATTACTCGTATATAATTGCTTGTATATTCTCAAGCCTCGTAAGAAGTTTGAAAACATTTGCTCTTTTATAGTTATAAATTTATCTATATTTATGATGCATGCAGGAGCCCACACAATTGGACAAGCTCAATGCTTCACATTTCGTGGAAGGATATACAACAATGCAAGTGACATTGATGCAGGATTTGCAAGCACTCGTCAACGTGGTTGTCCATCAGTTAGTAGTGATGATAATGATAAGAAATTGGCAGCACTAGACTTGGTTACACCCAATTCATTTGACAACAATTACTTCAAGAATTTGATTCAAAAGAAGGGTCTTCTTCAATCAGATCAAGTTCTATATAGCGGAGGATCTACAGATTCTGTTGTGACCGAATACAGCAACAATCCTACAACTTTTAAGTCCAACTTTGCAGCTGCTATGATAAAAATGGGAGATATTGAAC